TCAAGAAGGATGCATTTCAGCAGTCACCCTATGGTGGGAAAGTGCCAAGTCTTAGACTGGATGCCTCTAGGAAAGCAGGCTCGGCTTGAAACATAATTGGAGCTACTTCCTTGAAGCCCTTGCAGGCGGTCTGGGGAATAAGCAGTGTTTCTTCTGTACTTTTTTTACCGAGCCCCAGCAGTTGGTCTTCGGAAAGGAGAACTCCGCTTACTTTTCATACAGCCCCCTGAGATTGCATTCTTGGCCGGGCATGTCTTAAACATAAGTCTTTCCGTGACTGAGGAGGAATCCATGGCTACTGTGTCCCTTTCGGTAGGTGCTACTATAGGCAATCGGTCCAGGAGCTTTCTCAGCCATATGTCTAGAGTTTTTCATGAACTGAGATGTCTTCGAATTTCTTTTATGTTAAAAACGTTGCCATGACCAGCACAAATGCGGCGTGGTCCGAAGCTTCATTGCTCACAGGCTGCATCATGTTCACGTTGAAGCGTGTGTCGTGGACGAGGAGTCTGCCATGGTTTGGAACTTCGCAAGGAAGCACCTGGTAGATGCTCACCTGAATTCCTGAATTCGCCCATCCCTGGGGTGAGTAAGAGGCCCCTATGGAACCCGTTTCCTTAAGCCTACGCCTGTACTGAAGAAAGGGTACCTCAACGAAGAACAACAAGACAATGGTTTTCCGCGGACCATGGCTATGGAGGACCTGGCTCAAGTGAGCTTCGTGCCGCGTGGCTGCTGCAGGGAACTACCCCACTCCGCGCTAAAAGGGGATGTCTAGAGTCTAGAGTGTAGGGTTTAAGGATAGTACACCAATACTCAGTGGAGCATCAAATGGAAAGAAAATTCAAAAGTGATCGTTAAACCATGTTTATATGGGTCTATTTGGGCTCACTTAATGACATGCGCTCCACGATGTAGATGGCAGTTGGGATGATGGTGTTTTAGGTCTACGGCTGTTAGTGTCTAGGGGATAATGGCTCCTCGCATCGTGATCTAGCCCATCTACGTACTTTTCTGGCACGATGTGTCATCCCATCTACCGCAGAAGATATTACACAAAGTCCTTCAAGGAAGGAACCCCCAGGAGAGAACACATACATTTGAAATCTCTCTTCTCACCATCTTGCTACGTGCTTCTGAGCTTTGAGAGTACGCCACAGGAGCTGTTGAAGACTTCCCCAGATGAGAACAGAACGCTCCGATTGTGACATGGGCATACTTTTGTATTTCCCCGGAACAGCTATTGAGGCAAGATTCACCTCACCAACTGTGCAGACTTCTGTGTTACTTGTAGTTTACATCCTGGTGCTACATGCCCAATCCCTACACCCTAGACGAACCTCCCCCGAGGAATGAGGAGTTCCTGCGGAGGCACGGCTTGAGCGTTTCCAACGTGCAGCTCGGCCTGCAGCGTGCTTTTGGGTACCCTCAGGTTGCCAAAGGGTTGAATGGCTGCTGATGCTACAGGGACAGTATGCGCCGCTCAGAGTCCTTCAGCTATTGCAAATCGGAAGTCGCAAATCGGAAGTCCGAAGAAGCGTAAGATATCCTCCCGGGGTCCCTCAGATTCAAGAGTTGGTCAAAGGGAGGGGTGCCATCATGCTGGGCCACTGTTAATCTGAACGTTCCTAAGCTATCTGATTCTTTTTACAGTTAGAGCAAGAACATGTGTGTTCAGCTAGGGCCCCGCTGAAGATCCAGAATTTTAAGGAGCCCTTCACATGGCGTTTAGAGTCGACGGTTCGGCAGCTTTGGCTCTCCGAGGCCCTCGAGGCCACTGTTGTTTCATTTGTCATGGGAGCGCTTGCTCTTATTGCGAAGCGCTGCAATTCGTGCGAAGAGATCTTGACAGCAGCGTCAACAGCTTGATGGAGTAAGCGGGATGGCGATGATGGTGGGGACACTCACGGTGATTGTGATGACAACGTACACAGCCCATGCTGCGGCGGCGGTGGTGAGCTAGCAGTAGTAAGGAGACAAGCTGCAGTAGTATTAATTGAGTAATAGTAGTAGCAGCAAAAGCAGCAGCGGGAGGTGGAGTTGTGGTGGTGGTGGCGGCGGCGGCGGCGGTGGTGGCCGTGGCGAGGGTGGCGGCGCCCATCAGTGGCCGAGGTTGGACTACTTTTACACCTCGCCCTTCTACCAGCGGAGCGGTGGCCCAGAGTCGCTAAACGAGAGGCGGCGGCGCGGCCAGAAAGTAGAGGAGGCCTGCCGGCCATTTGAGGAAGGTTAGGGGGCTCGTGTTTTGTGATTTTGGAATTAGGACCAAGGGTTGGGGGTCTAGGGTTTGGGGTCTGGGTCGTTCCCTGCCTCTGAACCCGCCACCCCGCCAATGTTGAAGACTGCCTTTGTAGACCTGCCTTGAAGCTCGCAAGCGCAGGCGCACAGCTGCTGTCAGCAGCAGCTGCTTAGACCAGTACATATACACATATTTGTCTCATTTTGTATCTATAGATATAGATATAGATCGGCGGTCTTGTTCATCATCATGTTTCTCCATGTACGGAGAGCATCTTTTGTTTCCCCGCTGCAGGGAGCAGACGACATTGCTTTACTTAAGCTGCGTGTGAGTACGCATTCCCCGGTAAGTTGCGTCGGGAACGGCTTCCGTGACCCGAAGGCTTCGCCCGGGATCGAGTTCGTGGTGGTGGGGGCCAATGCAGATGCCAAGGAAGGCGCAAAGGAGGATGCTTGAGGTTTCCAGGTGCACAGGTTTTGTGTCCTTCCCTATCCTGTGCAAAGTTCTGGGAGCGCAGTCTAGTCCGAAATAGGCAAGGTACCATGAATTCCACATTTGATCGGCGTGTAGTCCAGGCAGCTAGTTCGGATAAGAAGATAGTGCTGCAAAGTCACCATGTATGCGTCTATCCAGCAGCGACTGCATGCCCCAAGACTGGCAACCCATGCCAACCCTCATCCGATAAACTCTTTAGTGTAGACGTTTTGCTAATGCTAGCATTGTACGCGCGTATGCCCAAATCTGTTTCGCGATCTCGCTCAACCCTACACACAGGCCGCTTAGAGACCTCCATCTTTGTGGTGCAGCGCCTGCTGCGACGCGCCGGGGAGTCCGCCGTGCCTCAGGACCTCCTCATTTGTTCTTGATTCTTGTTCAATGTGGTCCAGATCAAGGGATCTCACCTGACTTCAATCCGAACTGGTCTATACAGGTAACATTATCGTTAGCGCGCGCCGCCTCGGCCTGCCCGTGCAGTCTCGCAGTGGGCTCGTGGACGTCAGCTCAACATTCATTGCTTGGCCTGACTAATTCTTCGGCATGGGGCCAGAGACCGATGAAGCGCCGAACACCCTCGGAGTTGTGAAGCCCCCACGGCTCCATAGGCCTAGGCGACAAAGGCAGCCCAAACACAACGCGCGCAAGTCGCGTTTTTAGAAACATGTTCCAGGCCGCCTCGGCCTCCTCCAAGCCTCAAAGGAAGAGATTCTCTAGCTTGTGCCCGCATCAGTCCATGTAGACGTCAGATGAGATCTGTATAGGCTACTCTCAAACTGTAGGCCCTTTCTGGTTGTGTCGTGTGGGTCTGGCATCTAGTGCCCTGCTGTACCAAACATCAAGATGTCGTAATTGTCGGAAATTGCCCATGTAGCCCCCAAGTTGGAAGGATGTTTTCTACGTTCTGGCAGGCTGGGTCTTGGATTTGATGTTTTGGGCTTAGAGTTTTGGGGCTATGGAGTAGGGTTGTAAGGAGGAAGATTAAACTTCCATGGATACGTGGGCTTGGGCTTGGGTAGGAGTGTATGTCAGAGGCTTAGGCCCAAGAAGGGGCCATCCAATTTTGACACCGTCCTAACCCTAAATCCTAAACCCCATGCTTATTGCTTGCTCGGAACTTTTAGGTTTCCCAAAATAGGGGGACTCCAGCCAATATAGACCCCAACATAATAACCCTTCTTATGGAGACCCTCAATAAGGTACCCCTAATTTGTGGGAAGCCCCATTTGTGCTCCCAGTGCAGCCTTATACTTTGTTGCAAGGTGAGGATTCGCAACTACTAGGCATATTGTTGGATACAGAAATCCTGTTAAACATGTGAGCTATAGTCCAAACTCCTTGAAGGTGGTCATATAGGAGATTATATAGGGGACTATAAGGGTTATTCAAGGGTATACTAGGAGTTTAGACTAGGCTATAGCTCATGTACCTTGGTTACTGTAGGACTGGTTCATCATAAGGCGGCTTTGCTTGCCTGCTAGGTTCAGGGCTTGGGAGGCGAGAGTATCAGGCTTTGTGGTTTGGTCTAGGTCGGCCGTGCCAGAACCCCTGGAAGGACCACAACAAGACCACCTAGGCTCAGGCTTAAAGGGTTTATATAGGGTTGTATAGGGTTATATAGGGTTATATAACCAAGATCCCCTGGCCCTTCCTTGAAACGCGGGAGGCTCTGTTTACAAGGCGCCGCCCATCGTTGACATTTTCGATGGCGCGCTCTGCCAGACAGCGATGGCGGCTAGCAGCACCTGGGCCCCTCCATTCAGAGTTTCCCACGGATAAGAAATCATTGGGATAATAAAGAAAATGGAAACTACTATAGTATATTGAGGTAATATTGGGATAGTGTTATAAAGGGCGCTCAGATCACGCGCCCTTTGAAGCTAGGAATCCTTTGGCCTGGGCTTTTTAGAGGAGACTGTTTAAAACAATGAGCTTTGAGAAGCCCAAGAAGCCTCTCGGCAACGATTATTGTTATTATTACTAGTATTCATATGAACCTCACTATAGACCCCTAAATACTATAGTCCTTATCATAGGGGCCCCAAACAGGTACCCCTAGTTTCAGGTAACCTCCACATATTCACTAGTATCATTGTTACCTCCATTTTAGGAGGGCCCCCCACCACGTAATAGTGGTATAATAAGAATATGAGAGGACCCTGTTATAATCCCTATTATCCCTTGTAGTCACTATTACTGGGTGGGGTCCACCTAAAATATCATTGTGACTTCTATTAGTATTCCTATTACTTGGGAGGCATCCTAAAGAAGCAGCTGGAAAGCTTCCGGTACACCGCAGAGGAGCAGCCTGCGGCAGCGCAAGATGCGAGGCAGGGAGGGGGGATCTCAGGGGATTAATATATGGGGGTCTCCCAAAATTAGGGGTACCTTTTTGGGGGTCCCCATAATAAGGACTAGCATTTTGGGGTCTATATTGGGGTTCCCCTGTTTTGGGAAACTACCATAAGGGGGTTGTATAGGGGATTATATGGGGAACTCTTATAGAGGTTATTAAGGAGGATACTAGGAGTTTAGACTATGGCTCATATAGTTTAGGGTTTGGGTTCAGGGTATATCGGAGAATCAGGTTGACGAGAAAATTGCCACATCCCTCAGCATCTAACGGGCCCCTGAATGGGCGTTACGTTTGTAGTGACAGGCTCAAAGGTGTGGAAGTGCGGATCTGGACCTGCTTGGTTGTACCGACTTCCGCTTTCTTGGAGAGGGAAAAGTTGGTAGGCTGTCAAACTCATGGTGCCTTGTCTCGAGTAGAATATGCGGCTAGCCCCGACCATGCGGGCATTTCTCCAAGTGGGGACCCACCTTAATCGTTGCTAAGAGATGCGCGTGCTGAAAGCAAGGCCTGCTAAGAGGTATAGAGTTGATGGCAATCGCCAAACACAATCCTGAAAATGAGGATGCTAACTACATAGTGGCAGAAGGCAGAGCAACAGCAATATCAGGTTGGAAAGAGCCAGAACAGTAATTGTGACAAGAGGTAAAGACCAAATACAGTAGTATCAGAAACAGAGCAGTCATCAAACCACGCATAAACGAAAGGAGGGTCCGCTTCATGGGGATTCTGATGGTAAGCCACTCGGACTCTCTAATGTTGCTGCAGTCCTGGGTGAGGTCCACCAATCCGGACTGGCCCTCTTGGTGCCTTAGCTGCTGTGGAGTCGTGGGGATTATAGACGGGGTATATATGGATTCTACAAGGGGATTTAATTCATTAAATGGAAGGATGTTTAGGGATGATGCCGGTTGTGTGATGGGGAACTTGAGCTGGCAAATCCTCGCTTTCTGAGGCGTCTTCGGGGTTGGCTTAAGGTGAGTTCGGGATGTGAAGCTTTGGCGTGTGTGAGGGGAGGTGTTTAGGGTTGAGCTCCCTCAACTCCAAACCCCTGAGCCCCTAGACGGCTTTGAGCCAGAAAATCAATTTCCCTCCGAACCTCCCTAAACCTCCAACTCCTCAGCACCTAACCCCTTAGCTTCAAACCTTCTGGACAGCTTCAGGTGCCACTTTGAGCGCCCGAGTTTGCCGCCTTCGTGGCTCAGGGGAGCTTTTGCAGATGCTCCCAAGCCTTGAGAGCGGTTTTCAGAAGGCTTTGGGGTTTCATAGACCATGCTACTTAGGGTCCAGTGTGTTGGGGTTAATTGTGGGTGTCTAGTTTCAACTTGGAGAGAAGCAGTTGTAGAGGCTACAATTCCGAGTAGGCATGTTTGCCGCCTCAAGCAGGTGGTTTCAACGGGATAATAAGATTACAGAACCTATAGCCACCAGCAACCCCTTACATGATGGCGAATGAAACCTGCTCGTGTCTGATGATGCCCAATACCAAGTATCGCTTACTGATAGCCTCCTCTGTGTTTGCTCCTTCACGATGTCTGGTCGATCTCCGATTCGGCAAATCGGTAATCGGTAGATGCCTGTCATATTGCACATTCCGGGGCTCCACTTGCGGCAAATACTCTTCGCCCCGCTTGGCACTTCACATCCCCCAAGGCAAACATGCCTTGGTTTGTAGGAGGTGCAGACCGGAGTAATTAAGCTAGCCCTGAACCCAAAGCATTGGTGAGAGTTTTGGGAGCTCTGATAGCGAGGGGACGCGCAGTCTTACTCCAAAAGCATCTGCGCAAAGCCGCGGTGCGATGATCGCTTTGAAAGAACAGCGGCTGAAGAGCTGAAAAAGGAAGTCTCGTACCTCAGTATTCCAACTATCAGGATCCCAGTTTGAGCGGGCAAAGCAGAGGCTGCTATTCAATTACCAATATCGTGTCCAATTTTGTGGACGGGTTGGGGCACACACGAGCCGGCAGGCAACGGCAGAATGTAGAGACGAGAGGATTCTTTCTTGAGTCATGCGACTTGTGGCTTATTACGACCACACCTACATGGGTGAAATAAGCATTTCCAGCAGCAAATGAGTGAGTTCATGTCCAGAGCATGTGCTAAGGCTCTCACATTGGGTGTATTTGAGTTTGACTTACAATGAATTATACACCGGCGTCCCCTGCCAGCGCTTGTCGCAAGATGGGGCGGACCTTCATTTTTGAATGCATCTGCTTATTCTTTTGCCGGCCGTTTTCGGAACAATGCAGATTCCATCTTTGTAGCCATTTGAGGCTTCGAGCCACGTAGAGGTCAATGGCATGCTGACAAATCCTTATAGCGTCACTCGAGCTCTCCAACCATAACGCGATTGTCAGCTGCTGACCACGTCTGCTTCTTTCAAACACGCTCCTTATTGGAGTTGGAAAGAAACAAGGGAATATACTGAGAATGTATTACGTAGGGATTATATTCCTTCATTCCCTGCTAACCAGTAGTAAGTCCCTGAAACGTTGCGGTTTGGCACTAGCACCTGGGAAGCAGTCATTGGACACCGAATACAGTCATGTAACAAAGCGGGACCCACCACCTAAATCCTAACACATGAGCCTTAACACCCTAACCGTTCACATTTCCAAATTCCAAGCAGATTGTTGCGCTACCGACTATTCCATTCGAACTACCTAGCCTATGGACCATAATGTTCTCAGGGGCGAAGCGATGGTTCTTGTCAGGCATGCCTAGCTTGAGGGGTTAGGGAGTCTTAGCACGTAGTAGAAGGTGAAGAAGTAATTCGACACTAGCCGAGCCAGCGTTCCAAAGCGGATGATTGGCGATGATGACGAGGAGAGGCATTGACAATCTACAAAGACAAGGCATATAGATGCCACAACACTCTTAACCCCCAAATTGCAAACCATCTAGGTTGTTCTTCCTGCAAACATCAACCAAGCCCCCGAACCCCCTGGATAATCAAATCCATGAAGTAAGAAAAAGGGTTATTAAAAATCAAGGCCCGCTGCATAAACCCTCTGGACTCCAAGTGGCCAATAAAAACAATGGATGTCGTTTGACGATGAGGAAGAGGAAGAGGAGCGCGACCCTACCCTTCCAAGGCTGGCAGCCCTGGCCTTACCTTTACTGGGGCCAGGTAGCACGGATACAGCAAGGTCCTAAACCCTAAATCCTAAATTAGTTTCAAGCTTGGCAGCCCATCCTCAGCAGGAATCGAAGAATCTTGCAGGAGTTGGGAGGCTTCAATGTGGCAATCTTGTCAGCATTTTGCCATTGTTGTAGCAACTCGAACGTTCAATTTACGTCCCAACCAGAGTATGGTTGACACTGAAGTCACCAAAGGTACATACAAAACAGAGGGTTCCTGGCTCAACTCCTTGAAAAAATCCCTCAGCCCCAGACTCCAATGGTTTACCCTAGCCTGTTAGAAACATGTGTGGTACACTCAATCAATAGGAGCCTCAGCATAGGGATCCCGACACCACTTGCGATCTGGAGAAATCCCCAAGGACCTCAAAAGGACCCCAGTCGCAAAAACTCCTTGCATAACTCCCTACATAAATGATAACGCGAGAGTCATGGTGTATATGATTTGTGCAGCGCGGGTTTAAGTTCCATGGAGGCCCTCGTTTCAGAATTCCGGGTGCGCGTGCAAATCATTGACCGCTGTGTTCGGCGATTTGGTGCTGAACATGCTTGACAGCATGCAGAGCCTTAATGCAGGTTGAACATGACTGTGTTTCCGGCGTTTCGTTGCAATCAGGCGTCATCCCTGGAAAAGCTTCTACCGAACCGGGTCGTTTGTACACATCCCAAAAATCCCGGCAAGGGGCTTTTGTCCTCAACAGGGATTCCCATCATCATGACTTTGGCACAGTTGAGCCTGCTAAAATCCTGTAGATGTACCCTTTTCGCGACAATGTCGATGCCCAGCTTTTAACAGCCGAGGCCTTCTCATCCATGCCATTGGCCGGTGTGCTTTCAACTGGGCCTGGGGCTGAGCAACGGGGGCAGGTCTCTTTCATGTATCATCGCAGAAGCCTGAACACTAACCAAGATTCTTCGCTTCTAATCCTGAAGAAATGATACAGTGGTAGATACTATGGTATCAGGGTTACTTGATTTGCCCCCAAACCCTACTTGAATTTAATAGGCCCCTGCAGTAGAACTTGCATTCACGGCTTCGGAATTGCAGCGGATTTCGTGGAACTAGAACCAGGGTCCAAAGGTGCGGCCATGCTTGGCAAAGACTGGTCGCCCAAAATCCTAATAGTAATAATGGTAATACTAGCAATAATATACTATTTAATAGTAAGTAATTTTAGCAATGATGCTAGTAATACTGAAGCCTAAATCCTAAACGCTGCCTCTTGTAGAGATGGAAAACAGGTTGATGCCGCAAAGGAGTTTGCCTTGTTCACAAAGCCCCCTCCCAGACTTAGGCGGTCTCAGGGCACACTGTGGAGTATCAGGTTGCCCTCCTCAGACTCCACCCTCATTCTGTTAGAATTCAAAGCCATCCAGGAGGCCTAAGTATCTGCCGTACTCTCTGTGTTGAGAGGACGTGGGTCCAACAGACTTCGAGTTTAGGGTTTCGGGTCCTTGCAAAGTTGGATCCTTTGCGTGCGGTCGCTTCTCCTCGACCCCTCAAAACTTTGAGGGTTGAGCTTTGGACCCCGAATCCAGAATCTTAAGCCCACTTCATGTAGAAGCCAACACAATTTACCAATGTTATGGTTCCAGATTCCTTGTATACTTATGGTTTTGGGCACCTCAAAGATAGACCTCAAAATGCTACTGGCAATTACATCGGCACCTTTTGTACTGAAGAAAGGTACCGAAAGCTTGGAATGCTGGTGGAGCATTTGGAGACACGAACGTGGGAGATGCAGGCACTGATCTACAAGTGTTAAGGTTTTGAGCGTAGGTTCTGGAGCCACCAAAAAAATATACGCATAGTACACCCTAAAAACAAAACCCTCAACCCATAGTTCGGCGTTGTTCCAAGGTAGGTCTAGGGATCGGAGTTGAGGCTGGGACATCCGACCTTCAGTTTTTTCTTGGTTTTTGGACTTGACGTCGTTCGTCTGCTTTCGCGTGGTTCCGTCAAGGCCTTGTAATGGCATCCAAGGCCAAGGGGAAGGTGATGCTCATGAATCCACATCTGGGTTTCGTTTTGGTTTTGATGCGCTTTGCTCTTGCAGGTTCTGCTTCAGGCATGTGGTGTTCTCAAGTCGTGTTCTTTGTACAAGGGCGTTTTGCACTACATTTGGCATGCCCGCTCCGTGTCGGCATTCTAAAAAAGAAGCTTCCTGGTATCTGCAGCACACTGCAGGGCTTGCAGGAAACCCTGGGAACCGCGTCTGCTGCCGAGCCTGATGCCTAGGTTAGGTCTCCTCACAATGGCTGACCCCTTCAGGTATTTTCAAGGGTTTAGGGTTCAGGGTTTAGGGTTGACTTTAGAGCATGTCAGCAGTGGCTGCTGGGGTAGCTTCCGCTGGTAGGAAGGTTTCAGATGTTCATCATCGTTAGTTCCAGCATGGAAAGTGTTCCGGTTGGCCCAGACCCACGGAACCTTCAGTGATCATACTTCCCCCCATGGCAGTACCTGCTGATATACAGATACTCCAGTGCACAATAGAGGCACACAACGTGGGCTGAACCTACATGCCTTATCCTCTTTGCCTGATGCGTACGAGCCTGGCACCACAATCCCATCTACGTTCTTTCACAACCGCACCGATTCTCTGCATAATAATGTACATTATTCCTGGACTTCCTCTCTGAACCCTTCTCCTTGCATCACCAGCATTTCTGCATAATGCAGAAGCCTAAGTGACAACCCAAGATTATGGCCCCAGCTTCCATTTCATTCATTATATTCTCCGTGTGATTCTCCATCTTGGGTAATTATGTAAGTCCCCTGCACACCTAAAACGTAGCCCTACAGTACTTGGTTTGATGCCTGCGGCATTTTCTCTTTTACCACCTGGGCAGGTCATGGGTGGTGGGCACCGGGTAACAGCCGACTGGGTGCTGAAGGCCAGGGTTAAGGCTTTCGGACTTAGGTTCAGGTAAGGGTGTTAGTTTAGGGTTCGGTGGAGGGTTCACGTTTTGAATGAAGTTGAAAAGGCAGGGTGCATAATCTGTTGCGTGTCGTCGTAGCCAGCGTTTGCCAGCAGCTAGCATAAACCTAAATGGGGAGCGGAGAGAAATGCCGGCTATACTAAAGCACAGTAGATTCAGTAAATCAAGCTTCAGGACATTAGGGTCGAACCGATATAGTCTTGTCTACTCAAAGCCTCTGGATTGCATACAGCCCGCATAGCACCATCAAGTACCATCCTGGTGTCCCTACTGTGGACCCTTCTGCTTTGTTGTTGGATGGGCGTTCCTGCCACAAAGCCCCTTGCAGTTCCCCTCCGGCCCTATCTGGCATGCCCATCATGAACTTTCTCCGCTGAAGCCTCTTACTATTACACCCCAGAACCGCTAGGTCAAGGGCATGATAACCGAGAGAACCCTAATCCCTACAATGCCTAGGCTCCTTCACCCCAACCCCTAAACTTTGCGAACTTAAACTCTGACCTCATCTTAATGTGCCCCTGCTAGACCCTAGTCTCTAGACCCTGTGAACTTAAACCCCTGCCATTTCTTTGTGGGAGGAGATCGACAAGTTTGCCCAGGGCCTGGGCAAGTGGCTCAAGGCGAGGGCACTTTCTGAGTCCGTTTTAGGGCCCTACAATAATTCATAGAAGTCTGCCCGTCTGTGGCACAGAAAAGGGGATCCTGAAGCTAAGAATGTTCATGTAGACTTACCCTTATTGGCCAATGTCGAATATTCATGTACATGCCCATATCTGACAAGAAGCGCAGAGCCCTAGCAAAGAGGGGAAGGACTGAAGACCTAGCTCAAAAAGACCGCCATGAAGACCCCGAACCTATACACCCTTCCACCTTGAATTGGGGGTGACACAATGATCCAAACTGGAGTTCAAAAGGCAAAGTTGCTTTGAAAGCAGGAGCCCCGCTACACCCAAAGCACTAGACCGTCGCTCCAGATTCCCGCAACAAAGTTTAAGGACCCGTTATTGCCAGTCAGGCTGTTCACTGGAATTGACCTGCAAAATGCAATCCCAACACTAGTGCTGCGGGAGAGTTTCTTGATTTATGCCTTCCACATGGCAACAATTGTTGTCAGCGGAGGGAGGGCGCTGAGATCATTTGGGGGTGGGCAGGCTCTTCGAGCGTGCAAAGCTGAGAGGATTGTAAATCACTGCAGCCAAGTTTCAGGCGTCAAGACGCTTAGTAGACTGGGGCTGTTGCTCTTTTTGCGGGCTTGCAGACGTAGACGTCTGCCAACATATTCGGGGAACAGGGGGCACTGCACACATGGAGTCTGGCAGCCAACATATTACCAAGGAAGTTGCAGCTTTCAATGTGCCAGGTGGCCGGCGACGACAAGGCCGAAATTCTTCAGCACAGCATCAGCAGCCGCCCGTTGACAGAGCACCTGGTCTGTAGGAGGCATGAAGCAATACAGCGGGATATGAGCTATAGGCTATAGTCTAAACTCCTTAAAGGAGGGTCATATAGGAGATTATACAGGGAACTGCTATAGGGGTTAATAAGGGGAATACTTCGAGTTTAAAGTATGGTTCATACGAGCTATTGGTGCGTAGAAACCACGTTTCTGCAGACCTTGCCTACAGGAAATAGGTCTTAACTTGGGGGGGGTAGAAGTGGAACTTATGCTTGATTTAGCGGATGGGAAGTGTAACCATGCTAAGGAGCGAGACTTCCGAAAGTCATGCAAGGTGCAGTAGTCATTCTGGGGTCCTTGTTCTGGGGGATGCTGATTTGCCTTAGAACGCATATTGCAATGTTCAAGTTACAACCTTACATTCCTTGGTGGGTTGTAGGATACCTACAGTTTTTCACAACAACGGGTCAGTTTACGGTCACCAGCATGCGCATCAGGGGGCCTACAGCCTTATGTCCCTGCTATGGACTCGCATGGACTCGGTCGGCGTAGACATTTTGAGGCCTTCAGAAGCGTTCTTCGGAGACTCCAATGCAAAAAAAATCATAGAACCTTTAGTCACAAGGGTTTTTGGTGTCAATAGGCCCAAGAGGAGCGACCCTCAATGGTCCACCCTGTGAGCGTATGTAGGGTTCGGGCAGCTTCCCGCAGAATCTTAAGTCAGCGAGGTTGTCTCGCAAGTCCTCTAAAAGACCAGCTTCCCCCAAAGTGGTCCAAAACAGAAAACCCTGAGGTTTAGGGTTTCAGGTTTAGGGTTCAGGGGTGGTCCAAAATGGTAAGCTCTTCAAGGCACAAGACGATGGTGGAGTTCGGCAGTTTTGTGGCCTGGCCTGATGCCTTCAAGAAGCGAGATGTATAGGTTGGGTACTACAGCTGGATAATGTTTATGATATAGTTATTTATAGCCCTTAGTAATTATGATCCCTCATATAGACTGTGACAGGGTGGGGGCAGTACCCAATGTATGAGGGCTAGGTAGGAAACAACTCAAGTTATCACCAGGCTGTAACCTTTATCCCCGTATGCTTGCTAGTCTAGATAACGCTAGTGTGTCGTACCTTGTCCTACCTAGTATAGGGGTTAGACTACCTCAAGTGTCCCCACCTTCCCCTAATATCAAAAGCCCCAACTCCCCAAATATTTAATGTTCCCAACATTCTATAGCATACCATGTAGGGAAGATTCAATGAAAGGGGGTTGGGGGATTTGCACAGCAGCAATGGAGTCCAACATATGCCCTCACCGGATTTTCCTTAAGACTGGATGCAGTTCCGATGAACACAGAAGAGAGCTGCCTTGTTCATCAGTGAATTCCCCGCAGTGACACAAGAGATCAAGCCCAATCTTTCTCATGCTTAGTTAGAACAGGGGCATGATCAGTAGAGGTGCTTCGCACTGCCTTCATCATTCTCTGCTTTCCAACGCGTGCTTGCCTGCAGCGCCAGGTGGTTGTAAAAGGTCCAAATGTCGCTCCTTCAAGGTCAACCTTGAGTGTCTATCTTCGCACCTTGTTTGTGTTTGTGGGTTCCTGTGAACTGCAGTTAAAGTAGACCCCGACGCCTTAAACTCGACAACCAGCACCCTTTTGACCAATTGTAAGCCTTAAAGCCGGTACCGCAGACCCTGTGGTTTAATCTGGTGCAGGAGAAAGTGCCAAGGTCGGCTACACAGCTACGCGCATGGGTCGGGCGGTGGAGCGAACCTACGAAGCAGGGCATCTCTGTTGATGAGAGGTCGACAAAGTTTTTAAGGGATAAATGGGCTTTTTTGGAAGTTTTCCCAAAGTAGGGGGACCCCCAACATACACCCCAAAATACTATAATCCTTTTCCCCCAAGAAGGTATATGTTTGGGAAAGCCCCATACGATGCGGAGGCTTTCACATGGTGCAGATCTCCCTGAAGCTAGCTTCAAGGAGGGTCATGGCCATTCAGGATGACGCTCCTCATGTTTAGCGTGCTGCCTATCCACCTCGGGTGCACTTTTGAAGCGTCGGGTTTAATGTGCCCTTCATTCGGGTGTCCTGAACATGAACTTGTTGGTTTTGCTTAATCCGCAGCTGAAACTAGTTTGAACTACATTCCAGGGCAAGTGTAGTACAGACATGGACTTTTTTGAATGAAATATAAAGACTGGATTGTGTGGGGCGCTCTTGAATTTCTCTAAGAGATCCTATACTTCACGTAGCATTTCAGGCAGCCCCCCCATGATGGAAACAACAATAACAACAGCAGCAACCGCAACGATAGTACACCTCGACCCTGACCCCTACAATCCCCGGTTCAACACTAGATGCGCATTTTGCTATTAGCCCCAAGCACCTCAAACTCCAAAAATGCTAGACTTACTGGTTCTGAGCAGGGAATTGAAGGGAAATAATCCATATAGAGTCCCTATAGACTAGATTCCCAACTCCCCACTCACAAACCCCCAAAGTAGACCCGATGGCAATTTGGGCTCTGAAGCCCCAAACCCCTAAACCCAAAACGCTCAGAATAGATAGCCTCAATTGTGTAGATTCTCTTTCTGGGAATAGTGTTGGGAGAGGGGGTAGGGACCCTAAACCCTAGTTTCAGGTATGCGGACGGCTCGATCCTCTTCGAGGACTCACGGCTGCAAGGCGCCAACCGGATCACCTCCATGGAGATCGACCCGGCTACTCTGTTGACAATTGGTTTAGGGTTCATGGTTCAGTGGTGTAGGGGTTTAGGGTTTAGAGGTTTAGGGGTTTGGGTTTTAGGGCTTAGGGGTTTGGGGTTTAGGGTTTAAGGGTTCAGGGGCTTTGGGGTTGGTTCATTGCTTCTTAGAAGCATCCATAGGCGAGGCTAGGTTCTGCAGGTTGGTCAGCGTGCGTGGACTTTTTACGAAGAATATACATACAGTCTCCCTTAAGTAGATAGAATATGGGGTGTATGGGGATCTTATGATAATGTACCCAAAGGCATATTCTATCTAAGCCAGGGGGACTATATACATTACAATCTACCTTATCAAACCTGATCCCCCAAACCTAAACCGCAAAGAGCTCATAAATCCTCAGAAGCCTGAAAGGTTGGGTTGTCAGTCGGGATCTTTTGTTGCAGAACCGGGCTTGGGGTTTAGGGTTCAAAGTTTTGGGAATGTTTCTGGTGCCCCACAACTTCGGCACAGGTGCAATGTCTCTGCGCGCTGGGGTTGGAACACCGATAAAATGGTGTGTGGACATGTTTTCAGGGACCTTTAGGATGATGAGGGACCTTGATCTTTCATCACTCGAACTACAGTTGTTCATGTGCGATGTTTCTCATTGTAACTTATTGTCCCCAGAGATAGCAATCCAGTAGCCAGCAGCAAAGGTGCACGCCTGCATCGCAAGGCATGTGCTTGACATGAGCCGTCTCTCCCACATCGTGGAGGCCATTGTGGGACCTTCAGGGTTACAAGCTGGCCAGGGACTTGAGTTGAGGTTTATCTGGGGCTCACCATCTCAGGCCTGGGGGTCACAAGTGGGCATCCTTTGGGGTTTACTGGAGATTGGATCCTGCATTTTACACGTCTTCAGGATGTTTGGCCCCCTCTTTTCGCAATTTGTTTGGACACTGTGCGTTTGAGGCGCGGCTGGGACGTGAAAAGCTTGAGCTTCAGCTTGGGCGTCCAGGGAAAGATGCAGGGTGGAAGCTGTTCTTGTCGGAATGGCTGTATTCCGATGACGGGCGAGACTCGAGTTCTGCTGCTAAGTTGTGGGTCGCATTCTCGCCCGCATCGTTGCGAAGCTCATTTGCGTCATGGCTGATGCGACAGGTTGCATCTATGAGGTGGTATGTGAATCTTAATCAACTTGCATCAGTATTTTTGCAGCTGTGCTACATGATTGTAGTGTGGTCCCGGTGCTTTTGTGGGCTTCGAACATTTGGGGGTCGGGAACAAAATTCCCCAGCACCAGAGACCATGCCCTCATTCTGAGCGCAGGAGTGTCTTGGCCTGCATTTCCCGAGAGCAGGTGTGGATTGGGCAGGTCAAGGACCTCATTCCACGCTTGACGGAAGCCCCTTGCAGGCACCTGAGCTTTGCTGTTTCAGTGCTTTGCTGTCGGAACGGGGAAATTTGACTCTCGATCTGTGGTAGCTCCGCTTCATGATGTTGTTCCGCTCATGTGGCGCCAATTATCTAGGCGGTTTCACTGCAAGTTTTTGAGTAATCAACCGCAGAAGTTTCCTTCTTGCTCCTGAGCCCAAAGCCCTTGCGTTGTTTGGGGGGGTCTGTCCTTCTGGCATGTCGTGCAGAGAGTGGTTTGGTTGATTTCAGCTCAGGAGCATGGAGACATGAGTCTGAACATGGTCTTCATGGACCAAAGGGGGACCACCTTCCATGACGATCTGTCGCAGTTGGAGGCCGGGAGATCTTATTATTGACTTATAATGAACGCTGGGCAGGTATAGGGTATAGCCGCGGCATCATCAAGACACGGCTTACCTCATAGATTGCAGAACTTTGGTTGTAGAATGCAGAATCAAATGGAAGGGAAAATCAAGCACGACCAAATACAGGGTTGTATATATGGGGATTACGTAGTGATATGTAATTACTTTGAGCAATAATTGAGAATCACATGGAAAAGAAAATGCAACGTGAAATGGAAATTGCATCTCATGTAGGGGTTATATCTCGGGAGGGGGGAGGGATAATAGTTATAGGGCCCTGCCCGGAATCATTGGTTTCTGCGTAAAGGAATGTGCTTCAGACGGGCGCCCAAATCAGCTTATACCCTCTAAGAAACCGTATGCCTTCCATCCCTAAACCCAAAAACCCTAAACCGTAAACTCTAAACCCTAAACCCCTAAACCCTAAACTCTAAACCCTACGAGCCTCGCCAGTGCAGGAGTTGAACCTCATGTTCCCCAACTGCCGTGCCTAATCTGCAATTTGATGCGGATTGCTGATAAGGAACTTAAATTAGCTTACCATAATATTGGAGTGTGTATGTATATGAGCATGCACACGGTTTTTTTTACCATAGGGATTCCTCCCAAACAGCGTTTGGATTTAAGCTCTTTTGACAGCAGCACCGGTAAGGTAGAACTTGGAGGCTCATGAGTGACCCTGTGGATGGTTGTAGGTTTCCCGCACAAGCGGTAATCTTCCCAGTTAGGAACTACACTATCCGAAAGATGATTTTTCTATCATTGCCACACTGTGCAGAACTCTACCTTTCAAGCATAAGTGCAGCTGAACTGAGCCTCGCAAGACAGCTCAGACTCCAAAACCCTAGACATTGCAAGCCCTAACTCCTGCAGCCGATCAGAGAGTCTCGTTGGAACACTATAATCATAAACACCAAGCTATAAGGAATTGTGGCTGACAACTGCGTCAAGCCTGGCTCGCCAGTGTACTGCTGGCATACGACTGCTTCTGGGCAGCAGCGAGGTGGTAGCTTCAGCTCAGACTGTATGTAAGGATGATAGCGGGCCTACTGGTAGATAGAGGTAGCAGTTGTCGTCGTACTTGTTGTAGAAGTAGTAGAAGAAGTAGTACTAGCAGTAGTTGTCACTAGCAGTAAAGCTGACTGAAATGGTCATTATTTTGTTGGTCTTGTTCATTTGCATTGTTGGTAAACGCACGGCGCAGCCGGTTAAAGTCCCAGCCTTCATCCTGATAGAATTTCTTCTATTCTCGATGAGACGCTAGCCCACCCTGAAAGGCCCAACATATCCTCATGGTCCGTATTGTTTGTAAGCGTAGTCCTTTTCAAAATCAGGGCTTGCATGAGGTCCTCCAGGCTTCAGGTGCAGATGCTGGAGCCTGAAGCCCAGGTCAGTGATCGTTACAAGACCACAAACTACAGCCTCAACGAGTTCTTGGAGTCCACAATTGAAGACTGGCAGGCCATTGGATGGTTCAGGGTCTGGCCTTCACGGAGATAGTGGTTGATTATGGTTATGATAGAAGGTTGTAGGAAGATAGGTTCGAGTTCATGCTTGGTGTCCGCTGGATCTTCAGGTGGAAGCTAGGCATCGGGTTTGACTGATGAGGGATCGGAGCGCTGCTCCAAAGTATCTCCTAAAGCAGGTCAACATTATGATAAGAAGTCTCTGTCCTGGGCGTGCATGCGAGAAGTAACAGCCCAGATTTCTGTCACAGTCATGCCTAGCTTCTGAGGCCTGACATAGTGTATCCCGTGTTAATTAACATCCTGCGTTCACAGCAAGCTCCACGGCGCCGATGGATGTGTGCATGTGTCAACATCACATGAGCCATACTCTAACTCCTTAAAGGGAGTTACATATGGGATTACATAGGGGAGCATTACAGGGCTCATTAGGGGGGATACTGGGAGTTTAGACTATAGCTCACATGCGCATTGAACAATCAACCGATACGAAGCGGACGCTAGAAAATTGACAAAGGCGTGTTTGTATCCCATGAGATCGTGGTTCCCTGGTGACTGGACTAGTTGAGCTAGCACGATGACGAAGAAGAGACCCACCGTTACTTAGACTCTACGCAGTGCTCCTGAATGTTTTTGCTGAGCTCGTTTGGGGTTCTGTAATGAGGAAGTTAGGTATCCTCATAGGGGGAACTAAATTACAGGGTCCAGAGTCTAGGTAATGCTCTTCAACAGGTGGTATGTGACTACCTCGGCCCGCTTGCCGGGCGTCGACAAGCCGAAGAGCGCGCAGGCTTGATACAGGGTAGGAGTTTTCTATGGGTTTCGTGAGTGTACACAAGGTTTCTATAAGCTTGGTGAGTGTATACAGGGTTGGTTAGGCATACTGGTGAGTGTATGCATTGGGCGTGAAATTGGGAGGCCAAAAAGATTGTTTTTGGTGGAACATGTTTTTGCATGCTCTCGGAATGGCCAAAGCCTGAGTGACAATTGTGCAACAAATGCGGACGTTGCTGAAATGGAGCCCGTGAGAGACCTTGTGGGATCTGCTTAAGATGTGCGTCTAGGGACAGCCAAGGGCTGGAGGCTTGGCAAGGCTTTGAGCCTGGCCAAAGAAGTTCGAAGGAACTCAAGTCGACATTGGTTTGAAAGCCTGGGGAGCCAGAAGGATTCAAAAAAACAATGCGATTAGACAACCAAGGTTGAACCCCAAGCCCTGGATCCTAAACAGGGGTTTAGTGGTTTAGGGGTTTAGGGTTTAGGGGTTTAGGATTTCGGGTTTAGGGACATCAAGTTGGTTTGGACAAGGTTCTGGCAGGATCTCAGCCAGCTCATCTCATTTGTTCAGACGGGTTTCTTCAAAGTTACAGGATGCTTTCCTGCACCCATTTTGTCTCGTTCATGTTATTTCTTGTAGTCATGATGCCAACTGAAGTGTTACCAGTTCTGGTGAAGTCTAGAACTGAGGTATGGAGGGGGTTTTACTCTCTTGCTCAGCTGTAGGTGTCCTTGGCCCTTCCCAACTACACACGATTTCGAATTCTAGCTGAGTGCAGAATTGGCTGTAGAAGCCACACCCATCACCCACATTATGCCCTTATTATATTATAGCAAAATGTGCGTTGTAATGCACCGCATAGCTCCTATTCTAATTATTTACTGGGTTGCGGTTGAGACATGTAATTTAAGTTACCATGATATGGGTAGATAGTGAATAGTAGGGTTTCCTTAATATAGTAACTTACTTGAAGTTCCTGAACGGCAACCCACATAACATAACCCCTACAATACTCCTAACATAACCCTTTATGATTCCTATAAACCCTAAACCCAAACCTTTTCCAGTTTAGGTCCCAACATTAATTACAGGCGAAGGCGACTGGCGCTCCTATCCCATCCGGGACCTGGCCTGACCAGTGGTGTCAGACGCGGGGGCCTAGAAGTCTCAAGTACGATCGTTTTTAGGCTCTAGGGGTTAGGGTTTTTAGGGGTCTTTAGGATTCTTATAGGATCTTCAGGGTTTTTAGGGTCTTTAGGGTTCTTAGGGTCTTTAGGGTCTTTAGTGTTTTTAGGATTTTAGGATTTTTTAGGCAACAGGCTTCGGGATGCGACTGCAGGAGCTTGCAGAAAGAGACCTAGCACTCCCAGTTATAACCTCGTGAAGCTTTGTGCAGGCAACACCTGTCACACATTCGCACACGCCCCGCGCACTCTTGGTTTACAGAGTCGCAGACCTGGGTCCTTGAGCCTTGAGTAGCGAGACATGATCGTTTGTCTAAATAAAGGGACCCCAATACAGACCCCGATATATGATAGCCCTTATAGGGATCCCCAAAAACGTACCCCTAATTTGGTTTGGGACACCTCCACATGATGTTGGGTTTTGTTGCATGGACATTGACACACCTCCCTTTCGGAACAAAGGGCCAGAAAGATCCGCACAAGCTACTGAAGGATCCCTTCTGAGGTGTTAATTCACAGCGGGGGCTCCCTAGAAGACTACGTATGCCGTTTTTTTGTCAGGGATATTGGGGATGTAGCGCTCTAAACCCTAAACCCTAAAACCCTAAACCGTACACCCTAAACCCTTTTTTTGTGTCAGGGATGTTGGGGATGTAGCATGGATGCCTTGTTTAGTACATGGAGGCCAAAGGCAGCCTCGACCACCGCGCAGCGAGCGCAAAACAGACAAAGGCAAATTCTTGCAACAGGGCTCCAAAACTCCTGGAGTCCTGGGTCTCCAACTTCCTCCTAGGGGCCTACCGGGATGGAGGAAATCTTGCACCACTCATTTTTCCCAAGATGTTGTAAGTCCTAGAAATTCCTGGGGTGGTGCAAGATGTCCTCTATCTACAGCACGTCTACCCCTTACTCGCAGCAAAGATGGGAAAGCAACCCTCTGCTGACAGGTTAATAGATTTCCAAAAAGGTTGCATGGTATCCACCCACAGTGCTGGAGGTCGTGGAGATGCGCTAAACCTTAATCCCTAAATATAAGCCTGTATCCCCCTAAATTCGGGGTTCTTTGGCACTTAGACAGCCTGCTTAGGCTCCAAAACTCTGATGGAAGCATCGTATCCTTGGTGGGTTTAGGGTTTGGGGTTTAGGGGTTCAGAGTTGAGGGTTTATGATGCAGGGAATACGTTCCGCATAGTGATCCGGCAAAGATTTGAAGTGCCATGCACAGACGCGACCCACAGATTCGCTCACCAGCATTCTGGCTCGTCAGAAGGCTACAAGGCTCAGGAGCCCCCATGTGTGTTTTGGGCTGACATAGGTCAGCCGCTCAGTCATGTCAAAACCAGGTTGTTTAGGGAATCCCTATACCCCTCCATAATGTAGACCCGGCTTCCATGCAATTGCCAAATTTTCTTTTTCATTCTAGTTTCCTTTTTTGATATTTGTCAGCAGACGGTCAGGCCATAGGGCCTCAACCAGCAGCCCACCTGAAGTAGGCAAAACCCGCACCTGAACCACCCAGACCGGGACCCAGACCCCAAAAATGCAACCCAAAATCCCCCCAACCTCCCCCCTCAACCCTAAACCCGAAACCCTGAGCCCTAAACACTGAAATCCCCGAACTCCTAAATCCCCTGAAACCTAATTAGATAGAGCCATGGGCAACAGCAGCGGCTGTACCTTTTGCCAAGCCTTTACGGCTCCTCAGGCTGAGGCTCATGTTTTGGGGGGGAGTAGGATTTTAGGGTTTAGGAGTTTAGGAGTCTAAGTCTTAGTTCAAGTAAGAGGTTAAGGAGTATAAGGTTGAGGGGTTCAGTGTTACGTCTGTTGCAAGCTTTGGGGTTCAGGGTTGCGGTTTTGGCCTTTGGACTCCAGGATTTGAGGTTTAGGGTGTAGGCTTCTAGGCCTCTTCTCGAAACCATGGTCCGAAAGTTAACGCTTCAATGCTGAAAACGTCTGCATGTTCAGGACCATGCCCAGAGCGATGAATTCCTGACGCTACAGCCAACGATTAGGTGTTTTGCAAATAACCAAACCTGCGAAGATGTGAAGCGCTGACTCAACTTTTGATTCTGTTTCCGCGAACGCGCTGCTTGTAAGGACGCTTCGCCTTGATTCTGCAACCTTACCCCCAGAACCTCACCCAATCCCTATGAGCCCTGAGCCCCCCAAATCCCTTAACCCTGAGCTCCTTAGGGCCCTTCTTTGGGGGAAGATTGGGGCCAGGTACCCGATGCTCCGCGCGCGGAGTATGGGACCGAGATCTTACCACCCTCCGAAGCTGAGGCCGGATTGGGAGTATGGTGATTTTATTGGGGGTAATGGAAAGAAAATGGAAACTACCATTTTAGCATTTAAGAGCCTCGAAATAGGGCGATGTGGGGTTATGTATGGATGCTGGAGAAGAAGTGGAAGCTACCATTTAGCGTTTAGGGTTTAGGATCTTAGTGCAACAGTGGAGAAGCATAATGGAAAATCAAAGGGGACATGACATGGATGCCATGAATTCCAGGGTTACATGGGGATCATATGGGTGTGGAAGCTGCGAGAGGTGGGTGTGTGATAGGGATTTTGTCTTGCAACTTACCCGAGAAATTTGGGAATGAAAGCCACGTTCAAGAAACGCCCCGGCTCGGTGAGGACATACGTGCCATGAGCATCTCCAAAATCTAGCCGTCACAGAAATTATTCTGAAATATCCCTTCAGAGCATGACGTCGCAGCCTAAGTTCCAAAAGTCTCCCAGTCAATAGATGTCTTGGTCTTGGCTTCGCTGAGGGGTTATAGGGAGTATTCTAGGGAGACCCCCAACCCTAAGCCCTAGACCCTACACCTTAGATTATTCAGCTGGGTAGGCCCCTGGGATATAATTAATATTTTCCCTAATGGCTTTCATAAGGGGCCCGATATACTAAGATTTTTCAAGGGTTTTAGGAGCCAACCCAGTCAGGGGGATACTAGGACTTTAGACCAGCTCACAACCCTAAACCCTAAACTCTAAACCCTAAACTCTAAACCCAAGCTCACCTGAAGCCGTTCTCTTCACCCTGGAAGGTTCGGTTAGAGCGCAAGCGTGGGGATGGCAGAGCCTTGGCACAGAAGGGTTGGAGTTATAGGGTGTATTTACCCTAGGGTTTAGAGTTATAGGGTTTAGGGGTTTAGGGGTTTAGGGGTTTAGGGTTTAGGGTTTAGGGGTTTAGGGTTTAGGGTTTAGGGTTCAGGGTTTAGGGTTCAGTGTTTTGGGGTTATATTGGGATAGTGGAAAAGAAAATGGAAACTACTACAGGATATCGGGGTTAAACTTGGGATAATGGAAAGGAACATAGAAACTACTAAAGTATGTTGGAGTTATGTTGGTGGAAAAGAAATGGAAACTATTGTTGTAGGGTTTAGGGCTTATGCTAACCGGTTTAGGGTTCAGATTCAGTCTGAATACGTCAACTGGTCAGCTTTCTAAAGTTGTGGCGATCTCAACATGAGGCATCTTCCACATCCTGGACTAGAAATAAGTGGTAGTTTCTTCAAACTTGGGTATCCCAATATAGACCCCAAATACTATAATCCTTCTTATAGGTATCCCCAAAAAGGTACCCCCCCCCCAACTTTGGGAAACTCCCAAGTCGGAATACATACTGTTGAGATGGGTCCTCTTAGCTTCGTGTCAGAATTCATTTTGTCAATCGCTGTGGGATGCCTATGATTCTGACCACTCCCAAAACCCTCTACTAGACTGTTCCTCCAAAACACCAACATATAGTAGCAAGTAGTATATGGTGCGTTTAAATTCAAAATACCGAGATGCTTTACCCTGAAGCCTACACCTTCTGCAGGAAAAGGCAACAAAGCACGTGTCGGGGGTGCGGCGGAAGAGGAACAAGGGGAGACGCTCAGCCTCTGACTTGAGAGGAAGCCTCTATGCGGGTTTCGGGCCTTATTAGGCCATTTAGGGCCTGAAGATTTAAGGCTTGGGATTTAGGGCTCATGGGCTAGGATTTACGTCTTGGAGACTAGGGTTTTGGGATGGGAGATTCTTTAGCATGAGCCCTCTACTCCGTAATGGCCACCCGTAGAATGTTCACCCCTGCTTTGAGAAAGCGCACATAACCAGAATCATATGCATGCATACTGTCTATGCAACCTCATGCGCCAGGTTTTGCCTATCCTGGGTCCTTTTTTCGGGGGGATGGTACGGTAAGGTTGTACAGGGAATCCGAAATCTGCTAATCTAACGCCCTCCAGGGGTTGCTATCAACTCTCTCTAGCGTCCATTTGCTATAAAGAGGTTTCTCAAAATTAGGGGTACCCTTTTTGTAGGGTCAGGGCATGAGGTACTTTGGGTTATGCAGGATTTTTAGTATCCAACATTGTTGCCCAACGCAACCTGTTTAGCAAAAGTATGCTTCTGATGGCTTCGTATATATCATGCTTAAGCTACCACCCCCACAAATCCTGGAACCCCCGCCCAAATGGCACTGCAAGGAAAGCAACCTTTTCCATAGGTTTAGGGGAGGAATCATAGCCCCAATGTCCTGTTTTCAAAGCCTCGACGTGACCGACCCACAACTTTGACCCCCAAAATCCTTGATCCCTGAAACCCCAAATGCATAATCCCAAACCCCTAGTGTTCGGAGCTTCAAACTACTCTGCCCAAAATCCTAAACTCCATAAACCCCGAACCCCTGAACCCTGCCACAACCAAGGATACACTTAGCGACGCATAGGGTCTGGGCCTCAGACGGTCCCTCTTGGGGTGGAGGGTTATTTTGCATTTTTGGGGTTTAAGGTACAGGCTTTGGTCTGTCCGTTCTCGTTCTGAAGGCTTAGAATGGCGCCATAATCTTCAGAGCCTCTGAATGGAGTTCCCCCTAAACGCGCAGCTTTCGCTCTGGAATCTTGACAGCCACAAGCTCGAATCCTGAATCCTAACCCTTGAGGTTTCCAAGTTTACGGTTCTCCCGCAAAATTAACCCTAAGTCGGGGTTTCAAACAATTGGGGGTTCCCTTTTCGAGGGTCCTTCTTATAGGAACTATAGTTTGTTTCCAGGTGTAGGGGGCCCCTGTTTGTCGGAACCCCCCTAGTCCTAAGTCCTAAATCCTAAGACCCTTAAACCCAAAAACCCTAAATCCACCACCTGTGGATCGCCTGAAAGGCCCCACGGGCGCTGACGGCGAACGTGCGGAGTGTTCTCAGAGAAGCGATGCCGCTCTGCTCAGACATGGGGTTCCAAGAATTCGTCACAAAAGAATAGAAAAGAAAATGGAAAGTAAGCTAAACCACTAAATCCTACACCCCTACTATTTAGAGCTTAGGGAATGAGAAAGAAAATGGAATCTACTATAATGGAGAACCAAATGGAAAACAACATGTAAGTTGAAATCAATAGAAGCAAGAGCTACGCAGTGATTACGTGGCATGCCAGGGTAGAAGGTTTGGGATTTACACGGTTGAGGTTTCAAGGTCAGAGTTTCAAGGTCTAGCGTTTAGGCTTGGGGGCGAGGGGCTCAGAGCTTCGTTTTTTTTTGATTTGGGGTTTCGACTTCAGGCTTTTGGCCGAGCTTCCAACATCCCTAAAATCCTACACCCCGCCCCCGTTTGTTAAACCCCCTACCCTAAACCCTGAAGCTAAATTCCATGCCTGAAGCTCTTAAAGCCTAAGCCTGAAGTCCTAAACCCCAACCCTAAACCCTAAACCCTAAAGCGAAAACCCTAAGTCCTAAACCAGAGTGAATGTGCCCGGATCGTCCCAACTGGCATCCTAAGGACATGTGCCTTGGGAGAAGGTCCCACAAGAAGAAGCAACAACCGTAGGACTTAAATCCTAAAGAACATGGTCGCCACTCAGGAAACTGGATCGTGTCTGTGCCGTCCTTGGCGACAAGGAGGCTGAGGCCAGCTATTTCAGGGCTTTCGGAATAGGAACTGGGGGTTTAGGGCTCTGGTTTGAGGATTGAGTTTTCCGGGAGTTTGAGCTACGAGACCGGCACCGTAAGACCTAGATATTAAGGGCTCAGAGGAACATGAGAGCCTAGGCACCAACTGCCGGTCAAAATTCGGTCCTGCATGCCGCACCCCGCAAACCAAAGGGAAGCCTGCAATTCGCCCATAAGCCCGAATCAACGCAGTCTCATGCCATTTGTAGCTGGGGTAGTTGCTTACTTAGAAATAGTAGCTGGGTAAGTACACTTCACACACAGTGCAGGCTGTTCTTGGTCAAGGGAACCCTACAACTGAGCTTAAACTGAGCCCGATAGAATTCTGCTGAGGGAGAAGTATGATCCAGAAAATACTCTGACATTCCCCAAGCTTCCTGCACCTTAGCCCACCTTGGATGTTCTTCAGAACACTATATAGTTGCAAATCTTTTGTATCTTCTGTGCAATCGTCACATGTCCCGTGCTTTCCTAGGCTCTCCCGCTGTTGAGAAGCCCAGGCATAAACAGAAACTCTAGCTCTAGAGCCCCATGTATCTCATATCCCGCTTCAAGGAAGAACCACTCTACGTCCCAACACCCTTTCTAAGGGAACCCCAATCTTGAGAAGCGCTCCCGATCATATTCTTCTGGTGTAGCTTGCTTGCCTGCTGGATTTGTCAGAAGAGCACACTCAACTGAATCTCACACGTTTTGCTGTTGTCACTGCTAGTATTCATAATGCTATGATAATTCCTACGACGACTAGTATTACTAAAACTTTCCCTGTTGCTATTGTTATTACTACTGCTTTTACTACCACTATCACTATTACTATTACCACTACCTAGTGGGCACCCACCATTACCACTACGACAATTGTTTTGCATGTGTATATATATATATTGTTATTATGATGATTCGCATTTTGTCTATTATAAGGACAATTATTTTTGTAAGTGCTATTGCTATTGCTGTTGTCATTTTGATTTCGCATGTCTATCAGTGACATGATTTCTGTCAAATCTATTGAATTGCCAGGGCTTGTATTATATACCTGTATCCATATCGTTGCACGAGCAAGGCCATCCTTTCAGCGATGGAATTCTTCCAGTTCCAACCCGGCGAGGCGATTGGGGTGGGTTTGCCGTGTTTAAGGTTCTGGTGCTTAAAGGGTGTAGGATTTAGGGTCTGGGTGGGCAGATAGTGTGTCATTAGAATGCATGAAATAAATCGAAAAAACATGGAAAATGAAATTGATTATAAGGTTGAGGGGCAATAGTAGCTACTGGTTGACATCGACAAGGGCTTTTTAATGGTGATATCGGAGAATCGAATGCACAATAAGATGGAACATGACATGGGAACTACGACGAGATTATTTCGGGTCTAGAGTCAATAGATAACTGGAGAATCACATACAAGAGCATGGAACATCACGTTGAAATTGAGATTGTGTCGTGTGTAAGAGCGTGATTACCGTAGAAGCAGCAGCATGAATGCCAATTACCAACCCCCAATCTCTGTTCTAAGTAGTTGTGCGCTACGTTCAATCTGTTTGTGGATTAGGGTTTGGGGCTTGGAGGGCTTCCTTATCCTCATTGTTGTGGATCACGCTCATGCTTCTTCGTGTTATGGCTACCTACAGTAAGTTTGAACAGGATTCTATCCACAAACTTCAACGCCCATGTAAACTCGTACCCAAGGAGTCTTCATTCCCTGATAGCCGCCTAAGACCAAGAGACCCACGTGAGCGAGTCCCAGGAAATGCTGGACTGCCAACTCCCAACCTAAATCGTGGAAATAAAGCACCTGCCCTCTTTCAACGATCCCTTCTTTGGATTCTGTATACACATGGGGTATAGGCTTTAGGATTTAGGCTTGCCTGGTGGGCCTGACGGAGTGGGGGTATTGATCACGCCCCTTACCCATTTAAAGGACTTCAATAGTACAGGAGGGGAAGAGGTTTAGGGTTTAGGGTTTGGGTTTTAGGGAAGAGCGAGAAAGAGGGACCCGAAGATGATGAGGCCACAAACAAGCTGAAGCTGTTCACAAGGAAGCTTCTCGAGCCATAGATGGCTGAGCTTAACATTACCTAAACCTAAACCTTACCTAATACAGGAATTTCCATTTTATTTTCTATTTTTCCCAAGATAATCCCTAAACCCTAAACCCCCCATTCTGGTAGTTTCCAACTTATTTTCCATTCCCCCCCCCTCCCCCTAAAAAGTGTTTCCGGATCCCAGGTGGTCATAGAGCAAGGAAAGACTGGAAACACCTTCTTCGTGGCCCAGACTGGCTCGCTAGAGGTGGGTTTAGGGTCAATTGGGTTATGGTCTAGGTTGGGTACTGCGCCCACCCGGTAACAGTCTATATTAGGGGTCCTTTTAAGGGCTATATGTAACCATATAATAATGATTATCCAATTGTTACTGAGGGGGGCAGTACCCAAGGTTTAGGGTTTGGCTTTAGGGTTTAGGGTCGAGGGCGACTAAGGGTCAGTCATGGCGAATCAAATGCAAAAGAACAATGGAAGATGAAATGGAAGCTATTAATTCGAGGGTCATGTAGGGATTACATAGGGATATCACCCCAAGGATGGGGAACCAAATGGAAGAGGACATGAAGAATTGAATGGAATATCTTATGACACAGGGTTATGGGTATTGTACTTTTATTAGTTGTATGGCCTAGCCGTGTTTTGTCATCACAGGAGTCAGACAGGATAGCTTCTTTGTGGTGAAATTAACGGCTTCCCAGCTGACCGTAGAAACCCCCCTCCGATTGAAAGTTGCATTCGGAGACAACAGGAATTGGGGGTCAATTGCTGTAAGGCTATACAGGTAAGCGATGCCCACTCCATGTGTAGCATTGCACTAAACATATCGCCAGTTCTGGCCTTAAGTAGGACTTCGGTGTTAGGGCGAAAGGGTCACGTAGCAGCTTTTGGCTTTGGCATTTCACTTCGAGGAAGCATCTCTGTGTTGACTGGCTCAGCTCTGGTTCCAGCCCGCTTTACAATTCCGCAGATCTCCCGCTTTCCCACCATGGCTCTGCCCATGAAGACCGCCATGAAGAAGGCCATGAAGTCCAGCGCCATGAAGTCCAGCGCCATGAAGTCCAAGAAGGCGGCAATGAAGGCCATGAAGAAGAAGGCTGTGTCGAAGATAGCAACAGGCAAGCGCGCGAAGTCCGTCGTCTTCCGCGGAACCAAGGAGAAGACATCCGGCGGCCTCGCGAAGACTCAGTTGATGAAGAACAAGCGAGGCAAGATTGTCAGCAAGAAGATGCATGCCAAGGGCAAGGCAATCCAGAAGTTCGCGCAGCGCTGGCTTGACTCCGTGATGACGGCACGTAAGGAGCTAGGAATCAAGGGCTTTTGCGCAGTGGGAGGCAAGAGTGCTCAGGGCAAAGCCCTCTACGCCAAAGCGAAGGCGCTTTATGCCGCCTGAGCCCGAAGGGTGGGACGCCGCTTTCGTGGTGATTCATGGAGCGGGTATTCCACCGTGCCACAAGTGCCAGATGATGTACAGCTGCGTTTAAGGGGTGATCATCACAGAGACTTCTGACAATGCCCCTCAGCGAAAGTGATGCACTGATGGTGGGTACTTTGCTTGGACGCCAGCATATGTACCACTGTGTACTATGGCATGGTAACCAGCCATGTGGTCATGTCCGGGCCCCATAGAGACAACTCTGACATACATTTGGGATCATTTGGGCACATTTTTGCAGCCGCTGATGCTTAGGCAGCTGCCAGGCGCGTAACAGTAAGCCAGATTTTATCGAACGCTTGCGGCGGTGAGAAGCATAGATATGGGGTTGCAAGAAACACCCACCTCAAGAGTTCTCAGTCAGAGTTACCTAGATTATAGTGTATATATAGGGGTTATAGTCCCCCTTAAGTAGATAGAATATAGCTTTGGGTACATTATAGTAAGATCCCCATATACCCCATATTCTATCTACTCAAGGGGGACTATATATTGGGATAGTGACAATGGACAATGAACTGGAAACTACTATTTTAGCAACCTAGCCCGCTGCTTGTCAAAGCTGACAGCCGTGATCCAGGTGAGCGTCAACGGCAGTGTTTGCAACACCGTCTCCCAAGGTGACCTGGCGTCGTCGGAAGTGTTACGCTCCCGGAAACTATCATGGAAACCCGAAAGGGGCCCTATAAAGACCACAGTCCCTGGAAAATATGGCTATATGGGTTTCCATGTTAGTTTGGGGGAGTGTAGCTTTAATGTTTCCTCAATGTGCCCTTGTTGAGTACCTTGCCACCTTGCATCCTTCGGCACATAGTCTTGCGCTGTACAACTCCGGGGCCTCAAGTTGAGTCATTCATTTTCCCCCGTGTATACTACAGCCGCCCCAGGCGCCGGACCCCGCGTCTGTAACTTGGGATGTAATGGCAGGTTCTGAAGTGCCCTTTGAGTGCTGTAGATCAATGCCCGCAAGTGTCTCTACCAACCGCACCCCTGTGCAGTTTAGCTGGCTTTACGATCCAGCTAACTTTTGGTTGCTTCGATCCTGGTAAGAAGTTTCATCGATGCTCAAGAACTTGCGGCATCACACAAGTGAATCTCAATAACGGTTTGAGATGGTAGGATGCGCGCATTTCGCCTATGACCATGCATTCAAGACCGTGTAAGCAGAAAGCTGGACAGCTTGTCAGCTTGGGCATTTGATCAGGTCCCCATATGCAACCCAAAGTACCGTGCTCTGTTCTAGGCTCGGAAGTCGACAAGTCAGGACCCGACAATGCACAGCTTACGCTTTTTTCTATATGTCCCAGCGGCCAGCTAGGCCCTAGAAGCTTGCCAACCATACCCTGAACCCAAAACCAAATTTTGGAGCGAGGACCTGTGGGAGTGTGAAAGATTGGGGCAGCCCCTACTCTCGAACGAATTTGGGAAACCCCCGAGCTCTGAAATGATCAGTACTTGCTAAAGCCTAAATTCTAAACCGCGGTATCAAAAAAATTGGGTGGCCCAGACTGGAGCAGGCGACTTCCTCCACAATTCGCCTATACCATATGCAAACAAACATCAGAGAACCTTTTCACAAATGATCTTGGGCACTTTTAAAGTACCGCCCAGATCAGCAACGGCTGCAAGGGATGGGCCGGGTTCATGAGGTAGTCTTGAGATGTAAATTGAGCCTGGGCAGGTTCTGGGTTTGGCGTCCAAGTCTTTCAGGTTTCCTCGTATTTTGTGCTATGGGATTATGGTAGCATGGCCCCGGGGCTGGGGTTTTTTGTTGTTGTGGAGTAACTAAAAGCCTCTTTCTAGTTCAGGCTTCTGTGTTGCGATCCCCTAAACCCTAAATCCTATATAACCCCCATATAACCCCCTGTAAAACCCCTTGTAACAATCAGGGCAGCCGAGCTTTGAGCAGCGCGCCCCCAGGTCAAGCCTTCGGGAGTCTGGCACTTTTGTACAACTGCCCGCGGACGGCAACAGTGAAGGCCTGAAACAGAAATAGGGGTTTAAAAGAGACAGGGGCCTTCTTTGGATGTTTTTGGTTTTGGGTTTAGGGTTCAGGGTTTAGGGTTTAGGGGTTTCTGTAGAGAGAAGCATAGCAGCAAAGCGAAGGTCTCGACATTGAGAACAGTCCATAGGAGAGTGCTCACCTGGTAGTTGCCATACATGCGGGCCCCCAATTTAGACTCCAATATATCATAATCCTTATCAGCCCCTCCCCAAGAAAGTACCCCCAGTTTTGGCCTACCTGCAACGAGTTCGAGTCCGGAGTACAATCGAATAGCCCGCTGTCATTTGCTCAGACCCTTCAATCCCAAAGCCTGAACCCCAAAGCCCGAACCTTAAACTCCTAAACGACCACCAGCATCCCCAAATTGTTGCACTTCGGAACCCCAAATCTCCTCCAGACAGAATCCGGCAGGCTCTGACGCAGTGCGGCGTGTGGGGCGCGAATGGCGCCGCTGTCCACGACGCGCTGCGAGAAAATGCTCACAGGCGAACTTGCAGGGTGTAGGATGGAGGGTTGGACCTTCCCTGTAAAATGATAGGGCCCGACTACCCTAAAGAAAGGGTACGCACTGTAGCCACGAAGAAGTGGGCTTCTGCAAGTTGAATCCGCGTTTGTTGCAAGAATCTGTACAATCAGGATCCCATTATGTCGGAGGTGGCTCATTTTCAGAGCTGCAAGTAGACAATTTTGTAAACGTAAACCTCTTTACCCAAATTGGGGCCCTATTCATGTCGTATGATGATCATGATGATGGTGATGATGGGCTCCTGTTCCTGGGGGTCAACAGTATTCGATTGAATGAGGCTTACAAGTTCAGATTTTTAGGGCCATCACTGTCATGGTGCAATAAGGGACCCAGACTCGAATGCCCCTCCGATGTATCAGTCTGCTGCTTGTGATTTGAGATATGGTAATTTCCCAAAACACGGGGACCCCAATATAGACCCCAAATAAAACAGTCCCTATTATGGGGACCCCTAAAAAGGTACCCCTTGTTTTGGGAAACCTCCATATCTGTTTTGCATATGGTGCTTCGGCGGCGTGGCGGATTCTGGGACCAGAAAGGGCCAGCATCGCTCAAAAGTTGTTGGCAGCACGCCCGCCTAGCTTGGGACTGAAAACCAAAGTCATACCCAGGTATCCTAGAGTCCTCCTTATGTTTTCATTGTAGGTGTCACTAGTGGTTTGGAAATATGCCTACCAGTGCAGCTCGCAGGCACCAGCAAGACTACAGGCAGTTTCTGGCCACTTGGCGTTGCACAGGGAGAAATCTTGTCAGGTCTTGTAGCAGCTTGGTGCAAGAACGATCTAAAAATGCAAGACTGCATTGATTGTGCGGCCCTTCCCCAAAGATTGACGGGCAGAAAACCAAAAATGTGAATCCTTCCGAACGCTCCCTGTGTTCTGAGGGCTTGGGGAATCCTTTCGAGGGAATGGCCTGGGTCTTTCGGGGGCCCAAAACGATAACCCCTGAAAGAGTTGCCGCAGAAACATATGCAAGAGAGTCTCTCCACTACTGTAAAAGAGCTCCAACATGCAGGGTTCGCCAAAAAGCCCTCATCATGATTCTAAGATGGGTTCCCGGTGAAGGGTTTCCCCCGTCAGAAGGGCAGCTTGAAACAGATGACTGCAAAGGTGTTTTAATGCCTTGAAACAAGTAATGTAGGGATGAAATAATTGCTAAATATTATCTTGGTCCTGTCTTCGTTGTATGATGAGAGTATAGGGTACCTCAATTTGACCTCAAGATTGTATCAGTAATGTTCTACGTAGGCCCCGACATGAATCTGTTCTGGTCTCCATGGGCTCAAGATCCTCTTCGAGGCTTCTGCGCAAGAACATGCTGGGACCCTATGTGAGCCATAGTCTAA